AGATTTAAGGCCTGATTCGTAATTCCAGTCTGATTCAGATTTCCAGCATGAGTTTGGTTCGGGATTCCACCATGAGCCACATTTCCAGCATGAGCCAGATTTCCAGCCTGATTCGGAATTCCAGCATGAGCCAGATTCCCAGCATGAGCCAGATTTCCAGCACGAGCCAGATTTCCAGCACGAGCCAGATTTCCAGCACGAGACAGATTTAAAGCCTGATTCGGAATTCCAGCCTCATACGGTTTTCTAGCATGAGCCCGGTTCGAAATTCCAGCATGAGCCAAGTTTCCAGCACGAGTCAGATTTCCCACATGACCTCGATTTCCAGCTTGATTCAGATTTCCAGCATAAGCCAGATTTCCAGCACGAGACAGATTTAAAGCCTGATTCGGAGCTCCAGCATGAGCCAGATTTCCAGCTTGATTCGGAATTCTAGCATGAGCCTGGTTCGGGACTCCACCATGAGCCGGGATTCTAGCATAAGCCAGATTTCCAGCATGAGCCAGATTTCCAGCCTCATACGGTTTTCTAGCATGAACCCGGCTCGAGATTCCAGAATGAGCCAAGTTTCCAGCACGAGCCAGACTTCCCACATGACCCCGATTTCCAGCTTGATTCAGATTTCCAGCACGAGTCGAACTTCCAGCATGAGAAAGATTTAAAGCCTGATTCGGAATTCCAGCCTGATTCAGATTTCCAACTTGATTCGGAATTCTAGCATGAGCCTGGTTAGGGATTCCACCATGAGCCACATTTCCAGCACGAGCCAGATTTCCAGCCTGATTAGGATTTGGATTTGCTGACTCTGAGTTCTGCATTGTAATCTATTTAACTCGAAGAAAGTCTTTAAATTAAATCACACTTCACAATAAACCAAAAAAAAAGCAGAAAAATAATTTTTTTCTCCAAATTTAATTTTTAGAGACTAAGAGATGTTTACGCTAGCTCAGCAAAAAACAGAAAGAACAAATTAAACTTGATTGATTGACATAACATCGAATTGATGACAGTAAATCCATGGCTATCCTTGTTGAGCTCCAAATTTAACATTGCATCCAAAACTTGATAGATTCGCATGTTTATTTTAACAGGAGAGCATTTTGAAATCATTTCTACTGCATACTTTTAAGAGCAACTTAAAAATCTAACGGAATTCCAAGCCAATTTGAACATTTTATATAGATCTACAATGGTGTCCGTTTGATTAGAAACTCCATTATATTTCTAATTAAGTTCGTTTTTTAGATCATATGAAAATCCACACCAATCATGCTGACTCATCTTTCATGCTTAACATTGTCATTTCCTTAACATCTCTGCTTTAGCATTTCTGTTAATCCCTTACATGACGGCTGATTATTTATATACATATATGTATGACACGTAATTTATAGAGAAATAAAGCCAAAAGTTTCTTTCAGCAAAGATAATGGAACCGCGGCGCTTCCTCAATTAGCTAAACACATCCTGCTTTCTTTTTCTAGTTTATCATTCCATACTTCCATCGAGCCCTTTGATAGCTGCAATTACAATTGCGTAGATTTTTGGATTTATTTAGTTAACTGCTGCATATACATATATTCTGTTAGACTCTAACCAGTATATAAATCTTAAATCTACAATAAAATGCTAACTTAATTTTACAGTATTTCAGGTTTATTGGATTCCCTGGCAGTGCAGAGCGCACCATTTTCCAGTCTTCGTCTGCTTCAAGAGCTGCCCTGGATGCGCTTTCAGTCTAGTCGCTTGTCTGAAGCTCGACGAGGAATCGCCAAATGCCATTTTATCCCGAAATGCCAATTAGCTCCTGCGCATCTTCGTAACGTCTTGCCAAATTTGAATTTCGTTGATGAACGTCCACGCCACAGACTTCCATGCAGCACCTTTCTGCCCAGCAGGTGGCTTATTTCACATGGCAAAGGTTCTATAAGGCAGATACCATAGCGCGAATATTATTATTATTATTATTTTATTTATTATTACTATTTTTTTTTTTTTTTTGTACAAGCAATGTTTGATGTTGAAACTCTCTCTGTGCTTCATCATGCTTGATCTCCCAATGCAAGCTCTATATATGCGCGTTCTTCTTAGCTCTTCCAATGCTGGCTCTACCTATGCGTGCTCTCCCTCTCTTCGCTCTCCCAATTGTTGATCTCATAATGCGGGCTCACATAAGCTCTCTCTCTCTCTCTCTCTCTCTCTCTCTCTCTCTCTCTCTCTCTCTCTCTCTCTTTCTCTCTCTCTCTCTCCAGCTCTTTGGGGTCGCTCTTCCAATGCTTGATCTCCCTATACTGACTCCACCAATGCGCAGTCTCCCTGTACTCGCTCTACCAATGCGGGCTCTATATACATATATGCTCGCTCTCTCTCTGTGCTCACTCTCTCAGTGCTTGATCTCCCCTTGTTGCCTGTATATGTACCTGCCCGCTGCTTCTGAATAAAGGCATTGGCAAATTCAAGCTCAAGGCGAACGGATATGCTGTGATACCTTTATCAGAGGGGAAAAGCCGCAAACTACGGTCGCATGCAAAAACAAGAATAAAAAAAAATAAAAAAATAAACCTTGAACTTTTTAATACGAGTGCATAATAGGAATGACCATATGATGATACGCCGTTGGAGACAAGGAGACATATATGTACGCATAAATATAATATTATATCATACCCAATAGAAAAGCGACTAAAAACCCCAACTAAATAAAAAAAATGTAAACAGTATTAAATAAATTAAATGTATTTATAAAAATATTATATAATACATTTGTATTAATGTGTTGGTTAATTAAAGAATAAGCTAGTCTTAAAATTAGTTTTATTTTCTTTTTAAAAATGTTACAATAAATATATAAAAAAAAAAGAGTAAATAATAAATAAGTTCTTTATGAATTTTGCAAATTGTATATTAAATTTCTGTACAATTTTAAATTTTGCTTCAAATAATTATACATTATAAGATAATTGTATTTTATTATTATTATTATTTTTTTTTTATTTAAAAATTTTTTTTTTTTTTGTTAATTTCAGAGCAACTCTAGCCGACAACTCTATGCAGGCAGGTCCACCCTAAAATGCGACAAGAGACGAAAGCAATGCAATAAAGATAAGTGGAACAAACACAAACACAAAGACAAAGACAAAGGCAAAGCGAACAAATATAAACAAGCGAATGCATGGAGCGGCATAAAGAGAATCCGATCGCTGCCCGCTGCGGCAGTCAGTATCGGACTTAGTTCGGGTTCGTTAACACGCATCGAGTGGAAGTCGAGGCAGCAGAATGCCACGCCCAATACTCTTGATACATGGCGGAGCGGGAGACATTACCGATGCGCGCGTGGAAGGCAAGTTCAAGGGCATCAGAGACGCGCTTCGAGCAGCTTGGAAGCATCTTGAGCCGACTGGAGCAGAGTCGTCGAGCAGCGCACTGGATGCCGTGGAGGCAGCCGTGCGCTCCATGGAGCTGAATGAGTCCTTCAACGCGGGCTACGGCTCGTGCCTGAACACCGCCGGCGCTGTGGAGATGGAGGCCAGCCTTATGGAGGGCCGGGAAATGCGTGCGGGCTGTGTGACGCTGCTGACAGACGTCATGCATCCGATTACGGTGGCCCGCCGACTGATGGAGAAGCGCCGGCATGTGTTCCTTGGCGGCCAGGCAGCCCAGGAGCTGGCGCTGAGCACCGGCAGCGAAAAGCTGCCAGCGGGCGCCCTTGTCACGGACAGTGCTCGGCAGGCATTGCGTGAGTTCATGGAGCAAGAAGCTAAGGGTCTGGACACCACCTTTGCCCGCACCGAACTGGATGATGCACGCACCGATCCGAAGGGCGATACGGTGGGCGCCGTGGCCATGGATGCGAGCGGACTCATCGTAGCGGGCACCTCCACCGGCGGCATCACTGGCAAGTGGCCGGGCCGCATTGGCGATACCCCGCTGCTCGGATGCGGCACCTATGCCGACAATGCTGTTGGCGGCGTCTCCACCACAGGACACGGCGAGACCATAATGCGCTACAATCTCGCACAGCGCATTTTGGGCGCCATACAGCACCAGGGACTCAGTGCTCAGGCAGCCGCCGAGAGGGAGTGCCAGAAGATGACTGAGCGCATCGGTGGCACTGGCGGCGCCATTGTCATCGATCACAAGGGCGAGGTGGGCATCAGCTGGACGTCACGGCGCATGGCCTGGGGCTATGTGCGCGACGGCATCATTCATTATGGGATCAATCAGAACGAGGTGTTCCAGGAGCCGCTGATAGCCAAGGCTGAGTAATTGTGCAGCTCTCAGGAGTATGAGAATATGTCCTATATATATCAATAAACCATATATGAATCCCAGATTGAGACATCTTTCTATGAAAGCTAGGCTATACAAAAGGAAAAACAGTCCAGCAATAACTGCATGGAAAACGAATTTGAACAAAACTAAATGATTTGCGATTAAAGGCTTTATTCTTTAAGAGTCTATATACATATATGTATGTATGTATGTTTGTACGTAGCTGATAATTAGCATTAGTTAACAGCAGCATCAAAGGTGCTAAATTTCCATACAAGGCTAGAGGAGCCACGAATCAGAGCAACGTCACACTGTTAACTTAACAGAGCCGTTGCATAGCTTAACATCAGTCAGTCCTGTTAATATGAATAATCTTGATATATGTATAAGGAATCTGCAGGCGGCCCAGGACTTTGCGGTGAGAGGCAGCATGGAAAAACTGTCGCAGATGCTGGAAAAACTGCCACAGATGCTGCTGGAGAGTATTTCTCTATATAAGGAGCTAAAGGCTCAGGGAATCAATGCTCAGGCGACTGCAGGAATGCCATTATCATTGATCACAATGGCGAGATATTCAGAGCACGGCATCATTCATTATGGGATCCATCACAGCGAGGTAGTTCAGGAGCCGGTGGTGATTGAAGCGGATTAGTTATGTAACCGTCAAGAGTATCTTCAGTAAAACATAAATAATTTGAATAAATTACGTTTAGTAAAGCACAAAATCAACTATATCTGAATGATAAATGTCTAATATGTGTACCGTATTAAAAGGCTTAAACTATCTTAACACCTTGCTATGGTAACTATATGCTATATAAATTCTAGAGATTTGTTCAATATTCCCAGAATGAAGGGACTCCATTTACTTGGCAATTAACTAAAGTTATAAACAAATATGTCATTGACCTGAGACAGAACGAAAAATCGAGCATTTATCGCAAAAGATGTGCAAATGCCTCAACATTCCTGGGCATTGCTCCTATCATGGCGAGTTCAACTAAAAACTATTTGTCGCAGTGCCACTTAATCAGTGTAATCAATGTGACCTATATACATTTAATTTGGACAATCAAGGAGAGACTGTCCATGCAATTTACAAATGAATGCAAGATTACTCTGCTGAACAACACTCAGACATTACGCAAAGATTTCGCACGATCTTTGAGAGCCAGGCAGTGGCTAACCCTGGCCACCCCGGGGAGCAACCTCGCGCTGCGACTCGTGCGCTTCAGTGGTGCCATAGCAGTATTTGGCCGCCTCATTGCGGTACTTGTTCTCGTGCTCGACAGAATGTGAGTTGGTGCGACACTTGACCAGGCACAGCTCAAAGTGGTCCACAACACTGGCGTAGATATATTTCTGTGTGTCGTGCGCCTGGAGCACTTGCTCCAGCAGAGATCGCTTGTTCGGATGGAGGCAACAGGAGACACAGTATTCATAGATGCCGCAACAGTGTGATGTGGTATTGCAACTGTAGCAGCTATAGTAGCTAATCCCGGCCAACTCAACATTGCAGCAGCCATTGACCAGCATCTGTTCCCGTAGGCATACGAATCCTCGTTCATCGGCCAGCAGCTGCCGTCCTTGCACCGAATTGCGGCAACGTAAGTCGGGATCCTTGGTGCGATTGAGATGTTCTTCGGGCGGCAACAATTGCTGCTTCCATAATAGCGGGCGTGTCCGTTGTGGCTTATATTCATCGTAATGAAGCGCACTGAAGGCTCCCTCCTATTGGGTATGCAATAGATTGTTATGAATCTATTGATACTTATTCGTTACGTGCGACTCACCTGATCAAAGAGGTTGCCGAATATGTAAAGAATGGCCAGCAGTACTAGAATTATATAAATAATGCGCCGTCGTAACAATCGTGTGAGTGCGGCTGGCCACATCGTATGCGTATGCGGACATGGGCATCGGCATCATTGCCAGCGGTGCTCTCAGTTAGTTTCGTCAAAGCTGGAAGCGATGCTGTTTCTGCTGCTGCTGTAACTCAGCGTGCCAATTGCTTGAACGCTGTGTATGCATTTGATTTTCGAACTTCTAACAATATAGTTGGCGAAATATTTATTTGCATTTGTTTTGGGCCGAACAGCTGTGCGCAGCGTTGCCACATATTGCAAAGTGAATGGCATGAACGATTACACCTCATAGGAGTTATCGATTGTTTTCAAGTAATTTAAATCAATTACTTATTTATTATTTATTTATCAATTTGTGGTATACAAAATTATTGTGTTTAACATTTTTTGTTTTAAGAGTGCATGATACATTATCTATACTTTTTAAACTTAATCATCTATAACATTGAAAATTGATTTTTTAGAAATTAACATAATTAACATTCTGCCTAAACTTGTCATTTAAATAAATTTTTTTGTAACAATTAATTAAATAACTCGAATTATCGATCGTCTTCAAATAATACACATAAATTAAATAATTTAACAATTGCTAACATCGCGATGTGTAAAAAATACAAACATTTAAGATTATAAGTTGAGCATTTGGGATTGTAAATAGGCAATACTAACATTGAACTAATTTTATTTCGTACTTTATGAAACAGCCTAACAAAGTATTTGATTAGACTATCCTTTCAATTTTCTTCTTCTTCTAATGCGTCAGCTACATCCAGTTGGGCTTTGTACGCTCTTATTTTCTCACGCAATGCCATGTCTGGCTCCAGATGCTTAATGCTAACTCAAACTAATTCTATTTCGTACTTTTTTAAACAGCCTAACAAAGTAAGACTATCCTTTCAATTTTCTTCTTCTAATGCGTCAGCTTCTTCCAGCTGGGCTTTGTACTCTATTATTTTCTCACGCAAAGCCATGTCTGGCTCCAGATACTTAATGCTTATATTACTTTTGATCGGGCATCCCACTATTGGACAACGTACACCGGAATTGTCCTTTAACATAGCATCCACAGTATCTTTTTCGTAGTGATGCCCGCACTTAGTGTTTCGCACTGGATTTAACATTAATTTCTTGGACCAGGGATCATACATTGAGACAACCTTGCCACCTGGCTCAACAACCTCGGCCACTTCCTCATCACTTACGTTCGTTCCATTCGAGTCCCCACCTACGGCAGTCAATCGTTGTTTAAACTCTTTATACTCAGCTGATTGTTTAATGTTGGTGCGTTTCCTTTCTTCACTTTCCAAAATTTCTGCACATTTGGCATTTACCTCTTCGACTGTATCAGCTTCATTTAATACGTTCTGCAAAGCAGCATCTATGCGTTTGTGCTTGGCCTTCAAAGCAATTATTTGTTCGCCGATCCTCAATCGATCTTTCATTCTCTCATCAAGTAATTTTTGTATTCTTTCCCGGAAATCGTCATCACAACCTTAAAACAAATAAATGGTGGATCTTTAGATTTACCTCTTCAAATAAAATACGATATATATTACAGCTTTCCAATGATCTTATAAACTCGGTGTTTTCAATAATGGTTTGTTTGGCATCTTCGAGGCTACTTAAAAACTCCATTAACTTGTTTATATTTTTACTTTCAACCTAAATATCTAACTTCGGGGAACCAATTGTTCAGCTTAAGATTTAGTTATCGGAACTTACCCACCGGATTGTGAGATGAACCAGTAGCTAATACAAGCGCGCTTTTCTTTGAAACAATCATCTGCAACACAATCAATACACGGCGTAGCAAAATTAATTGAAATTTCTAAACGAACAATTGTGTCGTATTGTTATTATCTTAAAGAACTAGTAGGCTTTGCTATTCGAATTTATTTGAACATAAAATTAGTACGTGTTTCCAATAGTATAAATCCAACACATTTTTTTTTTAAAGTATTCTTTGCATTAGTATTTTTACAAAACATTCTCGCTCCCAATAATTATTTAGAGGTAAAGGTAACCACAATCTCTTGCTAGCCGGTGCAAACGAAGAACTAGTTCATTTTGAAGCGGCGCGGAATCAATTAGATTCCACTGGTACGTACACCAATACAACTCTATATGGCAATAACAGCATTAACTGCTCAGAACGTTAAGAAGTTGAGGTGAAAGTGGCAAAAGCCTCCAAGCGCTAGCGTGGAAGCAACGTAGCGGAGAACGGGGCTTTACAGTTGCAAGGCAGCCAAAATACGAACATAAGGAGACAGCTCAACAGAACTGTCAAAAAGTCTAACCCGGAGCAAGGAGCAACAGCTGTTGCTGGCCATACACTCATACTCATACACTCACACACAAGCACATACATACGTACAAAATGCCACACAAACAGTCTCAAAGCTGGATTTACACCTGCCTTTTGGTCAGTATCTTGCCAACGTTGTGCGTGGGCTTACTCGACGGTCTCTACTGTGGCAAAGAGAACTGTTACGATGTGCTGGGCGTCACACGTGAATCCTCAAAGTCGGAGATCGGCAAAGCCTATCGGCAGCTGGCACGCAAATATCATCCCGATCTGCATCGTGGCGAGGAGGCCAAGGCGCTGGCCGAACAGCAATTTAAGCTCGTGGCCACAGCCTACGAGATACTGCGCGATGAGGAATCCCGCACAGACTACGACTACATGCTGGATAACCCGGACGCCTACTATGCGCATTACTATCGCTACTACCGACGACGTGTGGCACCCAAGGTCGATGTGCGCGTGGTGATCGTGGTGTCGTTGACCGTGATTTCTATAATCCAGTACTACTCTGGCTGGCAGCGCTACGATGCTGCCATCAAATACTTCTCAACGGTGCCCAAGTATCGCAACAAGGCGCTGGACATAGCGCGCGATGAGATCCAGGAGCGAGTGCACAATCGCAAGGGCAAGAATCGCAAGAGCCTATCGAAAACGGAACAAAAAGAGGAAATCGAGCGGATCATACGCAAGGTTATCGAGGAGAAAATGGACGTGCAGGGCGGCTATGCGAAGCCAACGCTATGGGATGTGCTGTGGGTGCAGTTGCTCATCTGCCCGTACACGCTGTTCAACTTCATTGCGTGGCACGCGCTGTGGTTCTGGCGCTACACGGTGCTGAAGCAGCCGTACGGCCGGGAGCAGCAGCTCTATTTGATACGACGCCACATGGGCATGGGCCAGCATCAGTTCAATTCACTGGATGAGAAACAGATCGAGGAATATCTGAAGCTTGAACTGTGGCAGCGCGACAATTTTGTCGCGTGGAAGGCCGATCAGGACGAGGACATGAAGAAGAAATTGGCCGAGAATCCGCGCTACAAGGCCTACAGGCGCTACATGAAGAACCATGGGCCCGGTCGCATCACCTTCGAGGACTAGAGGACGAGGACGAGTACGGCATCTGTTGATGTTCAAGTTTTATTGTTCCAACGTGTCGCCATGGGCCTGCCAACTGTAATTTATTGATTTCAACTTTCTTTCATCTAGCAGACATCAATGTATTCTTTTTTTTTATTTTTTTAGTTTTTCTTTTAACAATATTTTCGGGTCTAGGGCGAAGTTTTGCAATAGCTTAAAAAACAATTATGTTAATAATTCTGGTGGCCAATCGGATACTGCCCGCGGGGCAGCGATGGCCAAAACGTTGACCTCGCCACCAAAACCGGTTCCAAAAACGTGCTTACTCGCATTTCGCCTCTCATCTTTCATCTTCCACATCTGCCAGCAGAAACGTGCGATAAACGCGAAACCGAAAACCGAGAACCTCTCTTTGTTTTTTTTTTTCTCTTCTCTTTTTTAAAGTTGTTAGCTCAATTGTCCAAATTTTTATATAGCAAATATACAAAACACTAAATATTAAATAAAAACTAAATATTTAAATGAGAGTTACAAGTAAATGCTATTGAAAATTGTATTCTATAGTAATGTACAAATATGTTAAAGGTCCGTTAGAGTCGTAAAATTTCAGAATTATTTCGAATGGCATTTAGAGCATGTGGAACTTTATGAATATGGAGCACTCGGGCGTCTTCTGATAAATTCTTGCATGTGGAGCGCCTAATTCGTTTATACAGTTGTGCTTCAATCCACATAACTGAATCCGCATATTATTGTTGTTGATGGTTTTTGTTGCTGCTTCTGTTTCTGTTTTTGACTATATGTTGGAAACCGTTGCCAACTCGACTTTATTTACACAGCTGATGAGCTCTAGACTAATTTGTTTTGCACGCGTTCTTAAGACCTAAAGGTGGGTCAATTGGATTGGGTAATTGGTGTTGCGAGTGCAAGGGCAGGGGCAGGGGCAGGGGCATGGGCAGAGGCAATAAAACTATTCCATCAAGTATTTGGTATCGCTGACAAGTTCATCGGCATCGAGTAGACCGCTAACAAGCCCGAACGGCACCTTAACATCCTGTACGTTCTGGAATTCGCTATCGTCCAGCTGTGTATCATGATAATCGTCCAGATTCTGCTCAGCATCGTCCGCATCATCGTCGTTGAACATGAAATCATTTGTGACAATGCACTCCTCCAGCACTTTGGCCTGTTCGCCGCCCGCCTGGTTGAGATTGGTCATTCCGATGCCAACGCTGACATTATCATCATCATAGGAATCATCGTCTCCAACGGCCAAATCGCGGTCATTGTAATGCAATTGTGATTGTTGCTGGGGCTGTTGCTGCTGCTGCTGCTGCTGTTGTTGTTGTTGTTGTTTTCGCAGCTGCGGTTCCTGTTGATGCTGTAGCTTCTGGTGCTGCCCCCTTTGCTTCTGTCGCTTGCGCGTGGGCAGTCGCAGTGATATTGCCGAGCCTGGACTCACCACCGGCTGTTGCTTCACATGCTGGGCTACATGCGCGGCCAGATAGGATTTCTTGGTGAATCCCTTGTCGCACTGCGTGCACTGAAATTGCTTTTTGCCCGTGTGCACGCGCCGATGCACGGACAGCACATGAGCATAGGCGAATCCCTTATTGCACACCTCACAGATATATGGACGCTCCCCGGTATGAATCCGTTCGTGCTTCTTGCTGCTGCCAAAGTCGGAGAAGCGACGTTCGCAGTAGAGACAGCCATACGGCTTCTGTCCGGTGTGGACACGCATGTGACGACGCAGCTCCACGTTCGAAATGAACGCCTTCTGGCACACTTCGCACGGATATGGCCGATCGTTGTTATGCCGGCGCATATGCGCATTGAGCGCATGCTGATACTTGTATGTGTTGCCGCAGATGTCACAGATCTTTGGCTCTGTAGGGCGACGTGGTCGCACTCCGCTGACATTGACTGCTGCACTGCCTCCATTTCCATTGATATTGTTGTTGTTACTACTATCGCTGTTGTTGTTGACTGGAGCACACTGAGTGGTCTGTGTCGGCAAGTACTCCTCCTCCGTCAGCTTGTAGTCCTGATCATCGTCGTCCTGCTGCTGGTCTTGCTCCTGGTCTTGTTCCAATTCTTGTTCATGCACGAACTCCTGATCCACCTCCAGATCGTTGTCCTGCTCCGATTCACAATGGAGCTGCTGCTGTTGCTGCTGCTGATGCTGTTGCTGTTGCTCCTGCTGCTGCACCGTTTGCTCGGCAGCCCAATCCATATCCAGTGCAATGACCTTGTCTTCCTCAGAATCTGATGGGATACTGGCTACATCTTGCAGCATCAGTGCTGCTGCGCTATCGTCTGGCGGAATCATGAGTGCATGCACCTCAACATCCACATCATTTACTACGGCAACATCTTCATCGTCACAATAATACTTTTCTTTCTTGGCTGTAGGCTCAGCTGGCAGACGCTTCACTCGGAGACCGGATGGCAACTTGAGATGTTGTGTTTGCTCCAACAACAATTTATCCACGTCCACAAGCTGTGTGGCCGAAGCTGCCGATTGGAATATCTTTTGTGCTTCTCGGCATTTCTGTTGGAAGCGATAGGTGATACTTAGCTCGTTGCGGCATCCATGGCAGATCTTGTCGGGCAGCTGTGCGAGGAGCGGCCTCTCCAACTGCAATGCACTGCAACTACGGATTTTATCCACAATTTGCATATGAGGTGTCTCCAGATCTTGACCATAAATTGAACAATATCCAGGCTCCGCGCGCAAACATATCAGGCACACAACGCCTAGATCCACAAGGCCCGAATCAGGACCTAAATTACGCGGCATTGCTTAAAATTTGTTATGAGTGCTAAAAACATAACGTCTTTACTCGCACACAAACACAATTGCACACATTGAAACATACAAATATAGATACTATATTTTGTGTGTCTATTTTCCGAGTGTTGCTCTTTTTGTTGTTAGTTCTTGACAAACACTATCGATAGTTTGTTAGTTCATTCGTGTTGATGATAGTCTATGCTATCGATATACATTACCCAGCAGCCTTTGCCAGTGACGTCACAATTTGATAATTATATTATTTTTAATATACACATCTCTAAAGTGGCACAAATTCTTAAAGAGACTTACTTGTGTAAACGTCCCATTTTAATAGCTAAAATCACTGACCAGTGCTAAAATACTATGTGATTTTAAGCTACCTAGCGATGTGTTTGCGCACTTGCAGCTATTGTGAATTGCTATCGATAAATATATTTTGAAAACAGCTGGCGGCGAAATTTCTGTCAGAAATACCGCTTATTGTTAATTATTAAAAAAGCCACAATAAAATCTAAACTCTTTCAAAGTGTTCACCATTTACTGTTGTTTCTCAATTCCTTAAATGCGGACATGTCTCAAGATCCATTAACCGAGGTGACCCACCAATTGGTCAAGCATTTCGCAATCTATCCGGTGGCTACAAATGCTTCGTGTGTCATGCGGTACGGCGAGCTGATCCGCTTCCATAACGAGAACCTCTTAGAAGGCGGAGATGTGAGCATTGCGGCAAGCAATATAAACTGGGAATGTTTTTGTCAGAGACACGGTCTGAAGATGCGCATGGACATCGAGCAGTTGCTGACTGACGAGAAAGCAAAGGAGGATATGTTAGAACAAAGCAAGCAATGGATATTCCCGTTACAGAGCATCACAAAGTTGCGGAAGGAACGCTACGGCTTGCACTTCCATCGTGCTCCCATCATTGCCAATGTTCTCAATTCCATAATCACAAATGGCGAAAACTATGGCAAGCATAAAGGGCCAGCAGGCGATGGGGCTGTCTTGCCGCGCTCAATTCACCTATCGCTGAACAACCGATTTCTCAACGAGGACAAGCACAATTCAAAGGAACTGCACAAGTTCCGTGCCAAGCAGCTGTACCTCATTTTAGGCCGTCTCTTGGAATATTCCAAGTGGCGCGTGGTTCAAGAGGACGATGTGACCGACGACACTTTGAGAGTTAGCGTTGATTGCAATAATGTGCCGCGTCGACCCTCAGACAGCCAGGAGGATAAGAAGATGGTGCGCCTTGTGTGCGGCCCGGTGCTGGAGCCGACTACGAAGACGGCCACAAGTATGACCAGTGGAGACTACATGGCGTAAGTAGTTGCCGCAACGTCCAATATCCAGCTACATTTCACCTTTTTCCTCTCTTGTGCATTGCCGGCGGCAGACTGCGCTCCAATGATATGCTCCTAATAGCTATGCATCGCCATGGCGTACGCGACTGTGTCAAGGGAAAAAACTTTGAGAGCCTGATGCATCGGCTTGGCCATGCGGCTGTCATAGTGGATCTGTTCGAGGTGCGACATAGCACGGGCGCCACCGTGGTGCGCAGTGGCCTAGGCAGCTCCAAAGGTGCCAACTACATTCTCTACAATTCCGCACGCCTCGAGACATTGCTGCGTACCTTTCAAGCCCAGGTGGATCTAGGTGTCTACGAATGTCTGCCGCCCCTAGATGAAATCGATCTGAGCGTGCTTGAGGATGAGGTCTGAATGAGTTTATATATATTTGTACATCACGACTGTATATTTTGATTAATATTCATCTCTTTCTGCACGCAGCTCGACTGGCAGTTGATCTACGGCTATTTGCTTACCTTTCCAAAGCTGGTAGAAACAACTCTAGCCCAAGTGGAGCAGGGCCTGTGCGGTGTCCATTTGCTCGTCCGCTACATCGTAGACTTGGCTAGCCTGTTCAGCCGGTACTATCGCCACAAACGAATACTCGTGCAGCAGCGCACCAATCTGATGCCCGTGCTCTACGCTCGGATATATTTAGTCAAGGCTGTGCGACAGGTGCTCAATTCCGCGCTGGCGCTACTGGGAATTGAGCCCGTGGATTACATGTGAGGATGGCAAACGAGGATTGTTAAGTGAAGGCAGCATTTTCGTTTTGTATATTTAATGTACAAACGGTATGGTAAATTTAACAACAATCTATATTTTTATATTAACTATACACAAGAGGGCTTACGACTAAAACAGATGTTCTTTACAATTAAAGGATTTATTTAGTTGTCATAGGCCTAGAACATATAATATACATGTATATGCATCATATTTAGTTCAAAATGGAACAAGAGCTTTATATGCTATATTTTTAACAGAAAATGTCAGCAAATGAACTGACACGAACTTAATTTTAAATTTAGATAACTTACGCTTACTTTAATGTAGGAACAGATGGACAAAAATGCGTTAAAAACTTATTTACAAACAAATGATAAAAAGAACAGAACTTAAAAAAATAAAATAAAAAGACTTTATGTCAAGGAACAAGTTGTTTCAATAGATGCCAAGATGGAGACAGGGAAACTAAAACGATAATTGCGCAAGGCTTTCATGTACAAATCTATTCCTCTCTCTCTCTCTCTCTCTCTATCTTTCTTGACTTCCATACTTGTCTCTTACTCGCTCTCATCCATTCCGCTGCAGCATATTGTAAGGTATTCATTTGGCATTTTGGCTAGCAGCACGTCACACTCACACCCACACACACGCACACGCACACTGATAGGAAGCTGGAAGCATAATACTATAGTGGAACATGCCAGGATTTGGATGGCGCCCACGCATCATCTACTCTGATGCTTCTGTCGATTAAATTCGGTAATAAAGTCGATGTTCTGTCGATTGTTGAAGAACAGCTCCTCCATGAGCCGGGTGCTGCCCAGCGAGTTGGCCTTGGTGCCCAGGCACATGTTGTACTGCGGCGGATCCAACTGCACGTCGCAGCTAATGTCATGGTAGATGTGCACCAGCGTCGGATCTGGAGCACGGAATACGCTAAGGCGTCGCCATTGCTCGGCTGCCTCGTTATAGTCGAGCGGCACTTCAGCCGTATTGGACAGAAAGCCATGTTGGCGCGTTCCAACGCGCACAATCTTCTCCAGAAACTTGACATCCTCCAGGCCCCAACCCGTTATGTCCTTGTCGAAGCCATTGATGTCATCGTCCAGTATGTCCGACTTGTATATGGCACAAATGCCAAAGCCAAACTGCCTGAAGTACCCATTCTCATCGTCAATAGGCACCTGCTCGGAGGCACTGGCTCCATTCCGTCGCTTCGGATCGTACTGGCTGAACACAATGGGCAGGTACACCTGTCGACCACGCTGCGTATGCATACGCACCCGCTGCAGTGTCTCCACATTAAAGACCATATCGACATCGATGAATAGGATAATGTCCTGCTGTCGTATGTACGAGGAGCGAGCGGCAATGTCCAGAGCGACGCCACGAGAGAATGGGCCACTGCGCTGAATATAATTGATCTGCTGGTATATGTGGCGACTGCGCAACTCGTTCAGCTGCTGCAGATGATCGATCAGCTCATCTGGCTGCCCAAAGATGACAACCAGCAGATCGCAGTGCTGTGCAGCCACAATGCAAACGCGCTCATAGATGGACAGAAAGCGCTGGAAGGTGGCCAGCCGACCGGCAATAGGCAGCACGAAGACAATGGTGTCCGGCGGAGGCGCCAACAGGTTGCTGGCCATGGTAAAGTGGCTGCTGAGCCGTGCCATGCTGTTGTGCAGCAGGCTGCCGAACAGACCTACAGAGGACAAGCCTTACGAGCGGTAAGCAAGACAATATAGGAAATATATGCATGAATATATATGTATGCATTTAGCATAATCAAACTCACTCTGCTGCAGCGTCACATTGTAGAAATCCTCGTCCAGCTCCTTGACAAAGATGCCTGTGAAGGCGCGCTGCACATAGAGGTGGCGCCGCACGGGCACTGTCATCTTTTTGCCGCGATACTTCTTGTAGATCAACAGGAGGTCCAATATGAGATCCTGGCCATGCAGTGCATCCAAACGGTGGTAGCCATACAGCAATTCACGAAACTCAATCACACGTCCACGTTGACGTGAATAATAGTTGATGTTCTCCATGACCTCCGTGATGACATCCTCGAGACCTTCGCGCATAGCCGAGTCAATTTTCTGCTTGGGATTTGCCGAGCCCGCCGAGTACAGGCTGCGTGCTATAAAGGACCAGTCCAGCAGATCCGCTGTGCTCGCGGGCACAAATTTATTCAGCTCGGGACTAATGCCTGCAACAGTCGATAACATAAAATTAAATTCGATATATTTATTTATATAAGATATTTATATTCCAGTTCGATAGCTTGTGCGTATGTAAATCGCAATAATTTCGATAACTCAATCGATAGCTTGCAAAAACTGGGCGTTGCAATTCAAATGGTTTGCATGGGTAAAGATGATGTATTCAAATGCCCCATTAAGGTAGGCATGGCTGGAATGGAAGATGTCCCAGCAGGCATTTGACATTCACATTAAGATTTCTATACAATCAACTAACTCGACACGATTTTTATGTAAGGCATGTGGCTAACAAACTTGCCCCGCCTGGCATTGCTCACGGCATTAGTCTGCTGTGATGCATTAGGTTGTGGCAGCGAAAGGGTGACTAAACCCAAGGACGATGAGCGTAACGCCAGCTATTGGATGGACCAGGCGCAGCAGCAACTGGCTGTGCGTCTGATGCGTAGTCGAGAGGCGGGTGGGGGCGACAATCGAGTGGCCAGGAACGTTATAATGCTAATGGGCGATGGCTTATCCATTACCACGCTAACCGCGGCTCGAATACTAAAGGGTCAGCATGCCGGCTGCAGCGGCGAGGAGGCGCAGCTGGCCGTGGAGCAGTTCCCGTATTCGGGTCTATGTAAGACCTACTGCACGGACAGCCAAACGGCGGATTCGGCATGCGCGGCAACAGCATGTCTCACCGGCATAAAAACCAACTACGGCAGCATTGGACAGAGTGCTCAAGGTGTCAAGGTGGAGTCAATTCTGGATTGGGCTCAACACGCCGACAAGGCAACTGGCATTGTGACCACCACGCGACTAACTGACGCCAGTCCGGCGTCCGGCTATGCGCACGTGCAGAGGCGTTCCCAGGAGTTGGACATCGCACGGCAACTGATCGAGGATGCGCCTGGACGGCATCTGGATGTAATACTTGGCGGCGGCCTGGGTAAGTTTGCCAGCGAGCGTAGCGATGGACGGGATTTGCTTAAACAGTGGCGGGCATCGAATCCGGACGGATGTTTTGCCAGCACATTGAGCGAGCTGCGCAACTGCGGTGCCACCAATGGCAGCCTGTTTGGCGTTTTCAGTGATAACCATATGGCCTACCATTTGGCTGCATCCAAAGATCAGCCGCGGCTCCGCGACATGACAGAAGCTGCCATTCAGCGGCTGGAACAGCAGCCGCAAGGCTATTTTGTGTTCATTGAAGGCGGTCGCATCGATCATGGACACCACGAGACACGGGCCGGCTATGCGCTGGACGAGATGCTCGAACTTGATGCGGCCATCGAGGTGGCAGTGCATCTGACAAATCCCAACGAAACGCTGATCATTGTTACGGCGGATCATTCGCATACACTCAGCATGGCGGGCTATGCCAATCGAGGGACAGCCATATTGGGTCTGGATCCCAGCCAACGTGACTTGGACGGTATACCCTACAGCACGCTCAACTATGCCATTGGCAAGTGGCAGAGCCTCAACAAGGCCGGCAAACGGGAGAATCCTGCACCGCATCTGAGCAAAAGTAAAGAATCTTATTTATTTTCGAATTGCGCGATATTTCAGGGTATATATTTATATATGTATGTATGTTTCGTTTAGCATCCTTTACGCCTAGCTATATACATGCGAGGGGCGTACATTCTGGCGAAGATGTGGCTGTGTTTGCGTTGGGCCCCCAGTCCCATCTCTTTAGTGGCGTCATGGAGCAAAATCTGTTGCCACACCTGATGGCATATGCAGCCTGCGTGGGCCATGGCGCCACCATCTGCGAGCCATCCCCTTAGAAATATCCACATGCACGTTCAGTTCATCTTTTTGTAATGTAAATTTCTGTGTTGTCTTTTGTGCATTCAAAAACAACGTTTTGAAAACTATCGAACGCCTTTACTACTATCAATGATATCGATATGTGAATTCGGTTTGGTTCATTTGCGTCACATAAGCAACTGGACTCAGATGCGAACCGTGGCAAGTCAGGCAAATGTAATTTAACGTATTTTACACGGTATTGAAGGTACAATTTGAACTCAACTTACCTAGAATATTGTGATCTTCAAAGTGCCGTTTGCCAGTGTCCTTCTCCGGAATGGCGCCGGGAGAGACGCTTGGCAGCATGTAGGTGCTGTCATCGGGCACATCCAAATACTTGGCCATCCGCTTGATGTCGCGATGCAGCAGCAGCGACTCCTGGCGCAGCTCCTCGGCCTTGAGGCCCTGTATGTAGGAGTGCAGGCGATACATAAGCGGCGCCTGTTTGATAGGATGCAGCGTGATGGCATTATGTATTTCTTTGCGTTTCAGCTTGCCCGTATACGCATTACGGCCACTTGAATTGTGACGCAAAATGTACTGCATCTGCAAAAGTGATTAGCGATAGCGTCAGCAGGAGATACGTAGCCCGAACGTTGCTCAATTCAGCTTACCTCGTAGTTCCAGGTGCAGGGAATACCAGCAAATTTCTGCACACATCGGCCCACTTCCACATCCTCGTGAGTGCTGTACAGATTTTTCAGGCAGGTGGGTATGTGTGGTGCTACGCGGCGCAGCGTCTCGCTGCTGAGTATTACGCCGGGACCGCCCATGCAAAAGTTCTCATCGAATTCGAGGGACAACAGACCGAACTCCTCGCTATTGCCCTTGCCCGCCTGTCCAATGAACTGCGGCTTCGAGCTGTCGATGGAGCGCAGAAATCGTTCCAGCTTGTCCGGCTCCATGTAGACATCATCGTCCGCACGGATGAACCACTCGAATCGATCAATATAGTGCTCGAACATGTAATACAGCATCATGAACGACTTCTTCTGCGGCGGATAACGATCGTCTACATTCTTTAGCCCAACCACCGGCAACTCATCCGAGTAGCTGCCCTCTGAGCTGAAGAACGCAATGCGCCCGGGCACCTCCTTGCCCCACGTATC